ACACAATGAGATCTATTGGATGGGAATCGAAATATATTTTAAATTCCGCTGTGCATGTATAAGTAGATTCCCAACATGAAGTTTCCTACCATTTTTATTAAATGGATTATGGAGTGTGTTACATTGCCTTCATACTCTATTTCTATTAATGGAGGCCTTCATGGTTTTTTTAAAGGAAAGAAAGGTCTTCGTCAAGGTGACCCGCTCTTTCCTTTTCTTTTTGTCATTTGCCTTGAATATTTTTCTAGGATGTTGAAGGTGCAACTGACAATAGCAAATTCAACTACCATCCTAAATGTGCTCATTCAAAAATTACACACTTAGTTTTTGCGGATGATTTAATGGTTTTTGCAAGAGGTGATGCTACTTCGATTAGTATCTTGATGAATTGCTTAGCCAACTTTGGTGATACGTTCGGGCTAAGGATGAATGTTGATAAGTCTACTTATACATGGCGGGGGTTTTTGGGCAAGAGATGGAGGATATTCTTGAAATTGCTTGCATCCCCAAAGGTTCTATGCATTTTCGCTACTTGGGCATTCCTCTTGCGGCGGAGAAACTGAAAATCAGCATCTATGATACACTTATTGATAAGATCACGGCTTATATAGGTGCTTGGTCCAAAGCATCTTTATCTTATGCGGGAAGGAAGAAGCTTGTGAGAGTCGTACTTCAAGGAGTTAAGTGTTTTTGGCTTTCTATTTTTCCTATCCCAGCTACGGTTGCTTCTAAAGTTATTTCTCTTTGCTGGAATTTTCTTTGGAGATCTAAGAAACCATTGGTGTCTTGGAGTGATATTTGCCTTCCAAAGGAAGAAGGGGGATTTGGTCTTAGGGATATTAAAACTTGGAATGCTACTTTATTCGCCAAAACACTTTGAAATATTTATTGTAAGAAGGATACTTTGTGGATTAAATGGGTAAATCAAGTATACCTTCGGGGGAGTTGACATTTGGTTGTATACAATGAGGAAGGATGACTCTCCTCTATTCAAAAAACTGATGCAAATCAGAAATGCTGTTCTGGATGCTGAAATTAACCAACAAGCTGCTATTGGAAAACTGTCCAGCTGGACTAATGCTTGGAAATTCTGCATTTCTGCTGCATATGACTTCTTCCGTCCGAGGAGAACCAAGGTAATATGGACCAGCTCCATTTGGAACACATTTGCGACACCAAAACATGTATTTATCTTGTGGTTGGCAGTCAAATTGAGACTACTTACGAAGGACAGATTACATTATCTTGAAATTGACCGCAATTGTTGTTTTTGTGTACAAATGGAAGAGACTGTTGGGCATTTGTTCTTCAAATGTCCATTTAACAAATCAGTTTGGCACATAATTCGTACATGAGTTGGACTTCGAATATCAATGTCTACACTTCCTAGTGCTCTCAAATGGATCAAAAATGAAAGTAGGGGAACATCTTGGCACAGCAAAGTGAAGCGTATTGTACTTACTGCGACCGTCTACCACATTTGGATGGCAAGGAACAAGAAGATTTTTTTAGGATCTTATACCGCATTTTGATAGCATTGTACGACGAATTAAAACAGATGCACACAAAGTCATGTTTCCTTTGTAT